GGGATAATAATCAATGTAATGAAACAAGCTATATGAATGGTTGAATGTGAAGCTGATGATATGCCCTGTAAACTTTCACTCAATCCAAAATAAAAACATTTAATAAAAAATAAATAAAAGTACAAGAGACCAAATAAAACAGACAGATATGAAAATTCTGGCACCTTGGACTTCAAAAGAAAGGTTAGAGAGGTGGATGGTGTGGTTGCTGGGAGGAGAGGCCAAACACAGACAGCTAGTGAGGGAGACTGGTGAACAGCTGACCAGACACGGCTCCACCATCTTGGGAGCAGCTTAAGCAGCGGAGAGAGGCCTGGCAGAACAGATGTGTGCGGATGAGTGGGAAGGTGTGATTTCTTCTCTTTCCCCACGCTCCTCTGGTCACCAGAGGTGTGGCCAGCTCCCACCCTCATCCACCCCCAGTCAACACCCTGTTTCCGGGAGTTCAGAAAAAAACATGGTTGGGAGTCACGCCCATGTGAGTTGGGGACCAACTGCGTCATTTTAGTGTGCCGATTTGGTGCCTGGATTCAGGTGAAGTCAGCTCCAGAACTACTAAACCCGCAGTCACCAGAGCAGCATTTTAAGCAGTCAGCCTGCCCTCAGCTGCCCTTGGTCCTAAAAGACAGTGAAACCAGCTCCATCAAGGGCCTCCATGAACTCCTTCAAGATTGAGTGCCCTGAACATAGATAACCCTGAAGTCAATAGAACTCCATCTAGAGCCAGGAACTCTGCTATCACATCCCCCCTTCCATAACCATCTCATGAACTCCTTGAATTGCAGGAGCTCACCAGAGATTTCTCCCCTTCAGGTCCAACAACTATCTTTGTAAAACTGACTTTAAAAATATGACAACCCCACAGTGCCCCTAAGACAACAGACAATTTTAGCTCACACAAAGACACAAGGGATAATGGCTCAAACAAATGACCAAGATGCAGAGAAAGAAAACATTTGTAAGGGAAAAATGGGAATGGAACTAACTGAAAAATTTCAAAAGAGTGGTACTTGGTTCCTTCAATAGATTGACAGAAAGATTAAGGAGAGCAAGGAGAACACAGAAAGAACTTTAGAAGAATTCAGGAAAACACTATAAGAACAAAATAAATGCAAATTTGGAAACAATACAAAACCTGCGATTAAAAATCCAGAAGATTAATACTAAGATTCCAGAAATAGCCAATACAAAAGAGAAGATTCTAATCAATGGAAGGCCGAATCAGTAAACTTGAAGATAAATCTCTCAATACTAGTATGCTAGAAAATCAGAAAAAAAGAATGAAAAACTCTTAAGAAAGTCTAAAGTTATGTAGGGCACCATGAAGAGGAACAACTTAATGGGTAACTGGAATTCCAGAACAGAAAGAGACAATAAAAAGGACACAGAAAATTGTCAGAGTTGTTGGAAGAAAACGTCCCGAACATTATGAAATACAGGAAGATAAACATAAAAGAACCTGAGAACTCCAAACAAGATGGATCCTGAAGAAAATCACCAAGGCATATAAACTTTCCAAAATCCAAGACAAGGAAAGAATCCTGAGCAGCTTGGGAAAACCGAAGTTATCTTACAAAGGAGAACCAGTAAGACTAAACTCTGATTTCTCAGCAGAAACCATGCAAGCATGAAGGCAATGGGATGACATATAAAAACTCGGAAAGAAAAAAACTGCCAAACAAGAATCATGCATCCAGCAAAGCTGCCCCTCAAATTAAGACTTTTACTGATAAACAGAAATCACTGACCAGACCAACTTTACAAAAATGCTAAAGGGTGTTCTTTGGACTGCGCACCTACAACAAGCAACCTGAGATTACCATACACGACAACATCACCCAGAACTCAATCCAGATATTATGGAAGTATTTAAAGTGAAACAAACCTACAAGACTGAAAATAGAGAACCAGAGATATCTACATATAATGAAGTCAACTACAAAGCAAAAAGAGGGTAGAGTGTAGATACAGAATTTCCAAGTGACATGGAAGTCAAGTAGATTTCAAGATAAAACAGACTGTTTTAAGCAGAGAAACAATAAATTACAGGGTAGCCTCACATACAAAAAAATACACCTGTACATCAAAACAGAAAAAGAAGAAAATCAGAAAGACTTAGTAAACATTGTTGTTGTTGTGTTGTGAAGTGCCGTCGAGTCGATTCCAACCCATAGCGACCTTGTGTAGGGTTTCCGAGGAGCAGCTGGTGAGCTTGAGCTGCTGATCCTGCAGTTCAGACGGCTTTGCAGTCTGGCGCATTAACCCACAGCGCCACACCGGGACTCTATTAGTAAACATTAACACAACAGAAATGAGAATGAAAAGAAAATCCACAAATAAAATGAACTCAGCGCAGAAAAATGAGTGGAACAATGAATCCAGCACACACAGAGAATACTGACAGCAATCAATTCATACCTATCGATAATTACACTGAATGTAAATGGATTAAATGTAGCAGTCAAGTGACATCGAGAGAGTAGAATGGATAAGAAAACAGGATTCTTCAATATGTTGTCTGCAAGAGACACATCAAAAACATGGAGACTGCCTAATACTTATCAACAGAAGAAAGGTTTAATAAACCTTAGTACATACACACAATGTGGTGGCTGTGTGCTGTGGAGTCAATTGAGACTCATAGCGACCCTGTACAGGGTTTCCGAGGCTGTAAATCTTTACAGGAGCAGAAAGCCTCATCTTTCTCCCGTGGAACAGCTGGTAGTTTCAAACTGCGGACCAAGCTGTTCACAGCCCAATTCGTAACCACTACGCTACCACAGCACCTACATACACACAATAGAATACTACAAAATGTTGATGAATGATGATGAATGTGTGAAAAACCTCACAATGTGGTTGAACCTGGAGGACATTATGCTGAGTGAAATTAGCATAAAAGGACAAAAGGACAAACATTGTATGACACCAATGTTGTAAAATATTTAAAATTTTAAAAAAGGTTTTTTGATAAAAGAAACAATCTATGATGGTTAGGGTGAGGGGGCAGGGAAAGCTATTCAAGGGCTAGAAGGTAGACACATGTTAACACAGGTAAGAGGGCAGGCAATATACAACAAGAGGGAGGTTAGCTCAGAAAAGATGAAGGTAGCAGGAGACATAGGGAGGAATGCAAGCGTTAAAACGAGCAGAGGTAAATACAGTTAACTGTTGGTACATGGAGGGGATTACAACCCTGTAATGAAACACACTATATGATTTGATGAGTATGAAACTGATGATCTGCTCTGTAAACCTTCACTCAATTCACAATAGAATGTTGGAAAAAAGAAAAAGATAAATTAAGCACTGACGTGGCATTCTGACTTCTTACCAGTAGTTTTCTTGGGCTGTGGATAATAAAATTCAGAAATATCCGAAAGGCTTTCAGGAAAGATATTTTTGCTGTGAACTCAAGTGCAGTAGTGCTGGTTGTCAGCAGTCGGGTCGGTTCCAACTCCTAGTGAGCCAGCTTAGCGTTTCCGAGGCTATAAATCTTGACAAGAACAGAAAATGTCTCTCTCCCATGGAGCAGCTGGGAGAATAGAACTGCTGACCTTGCAGTTATCAGCCCTGCTCCTAATCTACTACACTAACAGGTGATACGGAGCCTTCAAAATAAAACATACACACTTCTGAGATTTCTATTCTGCCATAATTGATTCTGAGAATAAGAAAAATGCTGGCAATCGTTTTCCTTAGAATATTGACAACTGTTTTATTGCTACGGGAGTTAAAATGAGAAAAATGAAAAGCTACATCATTATAAGGTGATGCTACTATAAAACTATTTATTAATAACGATAAGAAGCTACATTCGGGCTTTCATATGTGCTTGTCAGCTGACACAGAGACTTCATAAGACCAAAGCAAGTAGAAATACTTCTTTTCAGCTCAACATAAACAAGCTTAAGTGGAAACAAGTTACTGTCTTACCGTAGTTTGCAGCCGGATTGCATATTGTAACCAAATAACACTGGGGTCCGTATCCCCTCTATTGCTAAACAGTCTTGCTCAGTTGTGCTGTGAAGAATAGTAAATTGTCCATATCTATTTGTTGTCTGAATAATCCCCAACCTTAACAGGAAGTTAAGGGACAACTACCCAGTGTCAGAGCAGCCGAATTCTCAGGTAAAGACAATGTCATTTGTGAGACAAGAGACCAACTACCCCTTCTCTAGGCCTCTGGGATTTTGATGGTAATTTCCCAGGAGAGGAAAACAGCCTTTGAGCTCTTTTCTCTGATCAGTAAGCCCTCAGAAGAAAAACCTTCAGAAACTAGCCCTTCAAAATTAACTCCAAGCTTTCAAACATCACTACATTTGCTTAGGAGTCTCTGTTTAGATGTAAAATTAAATATACACAGGGATATGTCAACTTTACTAAGACTTTCATTTTAAAACACTGACATTTCCAACCATGTGGTGTTTCACTTCAAACCCTCAAAACCCATCTCAACTCCACGTGGTGGGCAGCTGCCTCCCCTACCCCAGCCCCTAAAGGAGGCTTTGACTCAGACCTGGTTCCCCCACCCCACAGGCAGCCTCCAAACACCCTCAGCAATCAAGAATAGAGCATGTGGATGAGGAACTCAACTCCCTCGATAGAACCAAAAAGGATACCCCTTCTGAGGCTGAAATCCAGCCACTAATGGGAGCCCCACAACATAACCAGGGTTTCCACTGAGAGGAACCGGCTTTGTATTTTGCTGAAAGACAATGCAGAAAAAAAAACCAGATAATTTCATAAGGAAAATGGCAAAGGAGAAATGAAATGCTTTTCATAATAAAATCTGGAATTGTGACCAATAAAAGAATGTCTCCCCTTACTCAGAGCTACAAAAACATCTCTTAAGTGTGGGAGCTCACCATGCAACAAAAGAACAAGCTACCATAGAAGGGAGTTACGGCCAAACAGAAAAGGACGCAATATTCTCCCAGATTTCATCCCAGACTCCACTGCTACTCCAGCCCTCTACTCAGCAAAAGCAAAGGAGGCAATAATCCTTGCCCACGGCGACTCTACAGTTCCTTTGTTCACTTCACAATGAAATAACTGAAGAAAGCTGACCACACTTACCGGAATAAAATGAATTTCAAACTTTTGCTGGATCGGAGTAACGCCACTGCTCACTGTCCCCAGCAGAAGAGAGAGCTCAGCTTTTGTTATTTCACCTGCATCTGTATATGTCAGGCTGTACTTGACCTAAAAACAAAACAACAAAACGGGACTCCAAAAACCCCTGTTTCCGTTCCATTTCAGTAGTTGTATTCATCTCGCAAATAAGATCCACTGAGAAGACAAATCCTTTCCCACTTATTCTAGGTTTTCTCTCTTGTCCAGTAGGATTGAGAGAGGTGGTACCACCTCAGCATCAACCCAGCTGACAGGCCAGGGGCACTTGGCCCAGCTTTGTAAGTTCCAAAGCTGCTGGCCCAAGCAGAATATGATTAGCCTATTTCTGCAGAGAAAACATGTTAAAACAACATTTTGACATCATCTTGCAAGTCACAGGTTTGTGGGGGGAAATCATAAGGAATTATTCCAGAGACCAGTAAAGAAGCAACAGTGACGAGACAACATAAAGGCCAGCAGGAGGATGAATCAGAGCCCTGTTCAAAAGGTGTGTTGTTCGACACCAAAGATGGAGGCAGAGATGAGGATGTGGTAAGAGGGAACAGCTGAGAACTCTGGACTCATGGAAAGAGAGGGACTGGGTGCTGGCAGCCAGGAGGCAGACTTGCAGAATGTGCCCTTTGGTTGTTTCAATGATTATATAGTGTTTCTGTGTACATCTCCCCCACAAAAAACAAAACAGAGAGAATAGGAGCAAATACTGTTGAATGATAATGCATGGAGGAAACTGTAATCACTGCAATGAAAAGATAGTGTAAAGCCGATGCTTTCCCATGCAAACTATCACCTCAGTTCACAATAAAAACTTAAAAAAAAAAAAAAAAGGTGTGCTGTTACCCCCTTTTATCATAATAAAATCTGGAACTGTGACCAATAAAAGGGCCCACAGCTTGAGTGGGCCTCAAGTAGATCATGCTTTCCAAACCAAACTGGTGCCTACCTCCAAAACGACACTTGTGCAGACATTAACATTCCCAGCGCTGACAAAAGCAGGCCGCAGATCAACAGGAGTGCCTTCCAGCTGGGTCAGTGTTTGATTGAGAGACTGGACAATGACAGACTGGACAATAACATGGACCTGCAAGGTGAGGAATGCCTGGATTATGAAAGACTCTACAGGACAGCTGACTGAGGTCAACTGACAAAAACTCAAATGTCGAGAGGGAGAGGGTCTGTGTGCTGATGACGGGGGTGTGGGGGGGTGGCTTGCAGGGTATACCCTTTGATTGGTTGATGCATGGAGGGGACTGTAACCATGGCAATGAAACAATATACGATAGAATGAAGGTAAAACTAATGTTCTCCCATGTAAACTATCACATAATTCACAATAAAACATTAAACAAAAAACAAAACAAAAAAAACCCTCAAATGTCTGCCAAGTGGGAAAAGCATGCCCCAGAACAATAAGCCTCCATTGACTGCTTCCACATTTGCAAAGATGCATGCATGGACATCTACATATACATACACACAGAAAACACTCTGCAAGAATAGAAAGTAAATCTAAAAGTAGTCATCTCTGAAAATGTCCTTTCACAGAAAATACTTGTGCTCATAATGTTCAGAGCCACATTCATGAGAGCCAAAGTGGAAACCACCCAAATATCCAGCCATCAACTGATGAAGAGAAAACAAAAATGTGGCCTCTATCCCATAAGGAGTCTTGGTGTGGCATTGTTGGGTAAATGCTGGACTCCTAACAACAAAGTTGGTGCTTCAAACACACCAGCGGTTCCCTGGAAACCCTATGCAGGGTTGGAATTGACTTGACTACACTTAATAACAATACATAAAATGGACTATTATTCAGCCATAAAAAAGGAACAAAGCACCAACAGATAGATGCACAACATGGATAAACCTAGAAAACGTGAGGCTGAGTAAAAGAAGCCAGTCATAAAAAGCTCCTATAAAGGGAATATCGTATGATTCCACTTACAAGAAATGTCCAGAACATGCAAATCCACCAAGATAGAAAGTAGATACCTGGTTGCCACGGACTGGGGGGAGGAGAGAACAGGGTGTGGCTACTAATGGAAGCTTGGTGACTCCATACAATAAGCACTGGACTGAGAATCACAAGTCTGGGGTTCAAGCCCACCAGCTGCTCTGAAGGATAAAGATGAGGCATTCTGCTCCCACAAAGATTTAAAAGCCTTGGGAACACCTAGTTTCGGTGGCTTGATAATCAGAACTTGACTACAGGAAGATAAAATTAAAAAGAAATTTATGATAAAGAAAACGAGGGTAAATTGCTACAATTTGATGAACTTGACCTATACTCATGGAGGTGTTGTTGTTGTTAAGTGTCGTTGAGTTGATTCTGACCCATAGAGACCCTGTATAGGGTTTCCAAGGAGCAGCTGGTGAGCTTGAACCACCAACCTTGCAGTTCAAACAACTTTGCAGTCTGACGCATTAGCCCACAGCGCTACACCAGGACTCCACTCATGGAAGTAGTAGCGCTAAATACCAACAGAGAGGGAAGGAGTCTTCACATCAAGTATCAATGCTATTCTCTCAGTACAGAGGGTTGATAGGCATGGGCAACTTAGACATTGGCTACCTAAAATGAGGTAATGATAAAGGCACTAAGTGACTGGCTTACAAAGTTTCAAGAGGGAACTTAGTTTAAGAGTGTGTGGGCAGATAGAGAACAAATAAGATGGTGGATTGGGTGGAAGTGCAGTAAAGGAGCTCCGCCAGCAACAACACACAATACCCAACCAAACAGGCTCAGGGGATGGTCCCAAAACTCTGAACCACATATAAAGGAATATTTAGAAGGTTGGAAGGCTCACAACTGGGGGAATTTGTGGCAGAAGCAAGAAATCCATTGCTTTCTAATTCGAGACACTCAGTTGCTCCAGGAGCCACCATCTTGGGTGAGACCAAGCGGAGGAAGGATCGGAGCGGCCACAGACGGCTGACAGAACCTCAGAGATAAAGGTGTGGACATTCTTCTCTTTTGGTAGCTGTTCATTGGTCCCTTGCTGTCTGCGCACCTCCATTTGGGTGACTATATGGGTGCCTGAGCTAGTGGGCACCCCAGCCCCACCCTCAGAGGGTTCCACTACACATGCGCACAGATCTCCTTGAAATTTAAATAGACAGTTTCCAATTAAAACCAAACGGCCAAAGGAGGCCCTGAACTGTTTACAACTAGAAAAAAAGGCCTTAACGGGAATTTTGGAGTGGGACAAGCAGACAAAAAAGGAAATAAACCGAAAATTAAATCCTAAGTTACGTCAAAACGACCAACAGTGGCATCTTGAAATTTCTCAAGAAGAGTGAAAAGGGAAGCCAATCTCCTGATCAGATCTACCTGGAGGCAATCAGAAAGCATAAAAATATCAAAATACATACCCATCTGAGTATTAAGGCCACATATAACCCCTGAAGATGACCAAAAAACAGAAGCAGATGACCATATCTGCACATGTCCAGAAACGAGATAAAGTGATTGAGGTAAATGAGCTGGAAGTAGACCTATACTCCATACTGGAAGATGGGCAGGCTTT